CCCGAGTCTGCTGTGTTCCATATGCACACAGCTCTCTAAGGACAGATATTTTCCAGCATGTTCATCTTGATGTCTCAACAGGGCAGATAATACCTCAGTAACCAAAGTGAAGGAGAGATCTCAAAGGACCTCGGAGGAGATACACGCCTTTTGTAGAAGCAGAACACTTCCACTAAGAAGAGTGTTTCTAGTTCTAAGACACTGGCACACTAACACAGCCACATTCCCTTGTGGTTTTTAGCTGTACATTTATCATGATGTGACTCACTGTGCATGCTTTCACTTTTGCTTTTCATTCTATGACTTCAGCAGAGACTGAACAACAGAAATACAATACCTTGAGAAGTGTCGATTAACATTTTCACTGAGGATTTCCATGCTTTTGTCAAAGCTCGACTCTGAGCAGCGCTGCATGTTTTTTCTCATCGATCTTAAACAGTGTCCATTGAAACATTCAATGTTGCCAGAGGAAAATTTCTAGGAAAAGAAGGAAGAATGTATTTATCTGAACCACCTATTCCCTCATTTGATCGAGTTTAGTCTGTTACACTCCTGATTCAAGAGAGTTGTAACCAATGGCAGGGAAGCCTCGAACCACTTCTGCACCAAGCAGCAGCTCTGATGAAAAAACCACACCAGACTTCAAAGAAAAAACCTGAAATCTTTCCTTTCAAAATTGGTTCAGTGACCCCAGTAACCAAAATCTCACCTATAATGTGCAATTGTTCCATCCCTTTGGGAAGAGCCAAAAATTACACTACAAAAGGAGGGGTTTGGAGCAAAAAAATGCCAAAACAACAACAACCAAACAAACAAGCAAAACAATAGAGAGAGAGGAAAGCCCCTCTGCTTGCTTTGGATCAGCTGATGGACTGTGTCACTCCTTGTCCCTGAAGGGACACCTTTAGGTGAGGTCTGTGCCTCCCAACTGTCTTGGAACAGACCTGGGAATATTTACTTAGATCTATTGCTAAATGATCTCTGTCACTATTTCTTTGGTAACAGCACATATTAACACTCTGTAGCTGCTGCATTTGCCACCAGCAATTCAGAATTTGCTTTCCTGTCACTTCAATTACCTGCACTACCTGTGAATCTGGATCCTCTAAGCCCCTACAGAACTCAGCCAGGCAGACAATGTCCAATGGGCTATAAACAGAACTCGGGCCCAGCTGCACCCAGCTCTTCTGATCTCTGAGGAGCAGCTGGAACCTAAGGGAGTTCCTTTTCTGCTAGATTTCTAGATCTTTAATGCAACAGAAAAATTCCTAGTACTGGGATTAACATCTTTCTGGAAGAGTTTTCCTCCTGCCTCTGTTCCATTTATAATGACATTCAGAGTGATATAAAAAGACTTCCTTCCAGAGGGTAGCATTTATCTAGGGAAAACCAAAGGGAACTCAGCATACAGTTCTTCATGGATGCTCATCTTGTTCACATTGGTGTTTCTGCAAGGAGGATGCTACTGACCTTTACTGTGTGAGGAAAGCTGCAATGACCATGGGAAGCATTTGTTCCATTCACAACCCAAGGTCTCACTGTGAGTATGCCAAACTAAACCTCATACTAAGAAGGGCAGAAACCAGACTGGATTACTCTGCTTCTCATCCTGATGTTACCAAGAGGTAACTCCACTGATTGATGAAGATGAATGAAGAAGGACCACAAGGATGTCAAGAGGTCATGCAGGGAGAAAATTGCAAGCCCAAACAGAATTTAATGTGACTACTGCCATAAAAGATGACACAAAATATTTTTACAAATATATCAGCAAGAAAAGGAAGACTAAAAAAGAATCTCAATCCTTCACTTGATGCACAGGCAAATATATGACAATGGATGAGGAAAAGGCAGAAGTACTTTGCCTCAGTCTTTAACAGCCAGACCAGCAGTCCTCATGGTGCCCAGCCAGGGACAATGAAGCCCCCATAAGCCAGGAGGAAACAGCCAGTGACCTGCTACACCACCTGGACACCCACATTAACACAGGCCCCCTGGGATCCCACCCAGGGTACAGAGGGAGCTGCCAGAGGAGCTTGCCCACTCACTTCCATAGAACCACCAAGGCTGGAAAAGACCTCCAAGATCGAGTCCAACCTTTCAATGATCATCACTTTGTGAACAAAGCCACAGCACTAAGTGCCACATCCAGTTATTTCTTGAACACTTCCAGGGGTGGTGACTCCACACTTCCCTGCACAGCCTGCTCCAAGACTTTACCACCCTTTTTGTGAAAAATTTCTTGCTGGTGTGCAACCTGAACCTTCCCTGGTGCACCCAGAGGCTACGTCCTCTTGGCCTGTCACAGGTTACCTGAGACAAGAGCATGATCACCTACAACCTCCTTTCAGATGGTTGTTGAGGGTGATAAGGTCTTCCTTGAGTCTCCTTTTCTCCAGGTTAAACACCCCCAGCTCTCTCATCTGCTCCTCACATTCCTTACTTCCTAGACCCTTCCCAGCTCTGCTGTCTTTCTCAGGACACATCCTAACACCTCAATGTCCTTCTTGTCACAAGAGGCCAGAACCAGACACAGGATTCAAGGTGTGGCCTCACCATTGCTGAGCACAGCAATCACTGCCCTGGTCCTGCTGGCCCCATTGTTCCTGATACAGGTCAGAATGGCCAGACAAAAAGGGAACTCTGGAGCACACTGCCCACAAGAACAAACTTGTTCAGCTTTGGGAATTATAACCCTGTAACTAGGGTTATAGACCTGGAGACACACAGCTTCCAAAGGGATAGCAGCCACTTTAGATCTCACTGGGAGACTCATTCATGAAACTTACTGGGACTGGAAACCTGGAATAAACCCAGCAGATGTCTGTTTACCTTAGATCTCCTGTTGTATGGTTCTTACTGTCTATGGACGAAATGAGCTGTATAACTAAAGATAAACCATATGCTGATATCAGAAAAAAAAAGCAAGAGCTGCCACCACGTCCTTGCACATCAACAAGACAGGAAAGAGGCATCAGGACTTGAACAGAAGCCAGCATCAGTTCTCATGATCTCTGTCAGATGGAGCACTTCTACATTATCTCTACAGATAAAACTCCCAGCAGAGCCCAGCCTCCTACAAATGAGGTGAAGACTTCATGCTCAAAGCACAGGAAAGGTCTAGAGAAAGGAAGGGGAAAAAAACCTCAAAAAACAAACAAACCCAAACCAAAGAACAACCTTGCAACCAGTTTCATAACAATGATTCTGCTTTGGTTTCAGGAATGACTTTACATTTAGCTTCCTCATTCCTGTTTTCCACAAGGAGAACACATGCCAGGAGGATTATCTGCCTAATGCTTCAGAGCCTTCCCTCCTGAGGAAAGGCTGAGCGAGCCCCCAACAACCATTTCTAGTGGAGACTGCAAAAACAAAGCAGTGATCTTTAAGAGGATTCCATGACTTTCTGTAATGGGAGTAAAAAACCCCACCACTGCAAGGACTTTTCCCTTTTCAGTTCAGTAGTCTTGCATATAATGGCACAAAATATAAAAATAGAAAATTAATTCATACAGCTGAGACTCCTGAAAGACTTCTGTGGAAGGAAACAGAGTCTTTGAGAAGCATCACTCCAGGGCAGGGCTCCCCTGAAGAGCAGACCACTTCTGAGTGGGATCTGGTCTGCCTTTATTTGTCACAGAAATGCAGGACAGCCTGCGGAGTAGAGCCTGACTTGGAAATAGCAGAGGAAAGTTTTAGTTTTTTGAAAGCCATGTTAAAAACAATGGAAAGTGAAATGATTCACTTATTACAGCTGCAACGCTGAGATGTAGAGAGCACAGGCCACTTGACAGCTATCCTTTACCATCGTGCAAGTTGTCTCTCTTCTATTAGGGCAGATCAAGATTATAGAAAGCTCAAGTTACATTTTCACTGCTTTAGGTTACTTACTTTAATTAAGTACAAACGAACCCTGATTTCTACGCATTTTCTTTTTTAGAGCATGCAAAGTACTATCTGGACACACTTGACTAAGGAGTATTTAGCAGGCCCTTCGGGCCAACCAGAACGCCCTCAGAGCTCCCATGTATTTGGTGTCGCGCCGGTTTTGATGCATTTCTGTCATCTAAACAGAGAGCGCTCCATAAGCATTACTGCAGCTAAAGCAAAGAGCTTTCGAAGATCTTCTCAAGGTAACTTTTTCAGATAAGGAACTGAACCAAAATAAACGGGGATGGGGAATGTCATACAACACAGCAAACCGTGAGGCTATGCAGGTTTGTATTCCCTAAGGTCGGCTCTCAGCACTGTGCCATAGCCCCGGAGCAGAGCTTGGGCCGAGCCCCCTTTACCGGGGGCGGCCGGGAACGGAGGGCGGGCCGGCTGCTTCTTCACACACCCCCAACCACAGCCGCTGCCCCAAACCCTCGCTTCTCCCCTCATTTTCCTCTACGGAGCACACTCGGCAGCGCTTTCTGCCCTCTTCCCAGCAGCTCCCGGCCAGCCTCGGCTCCCCCCGCCGCCTCTCCGGGCCCGCAGCCCGGCGCTGCCCGCCAGGCCGTGCTCACCCCGCCCCCACCCGCCACTCACGGCCTCCTCGGCTCTCCTGGCGCCCCTGGACACCGCGGCCCTGGCGGACCCCGAGCGCGTCCATACGCGGTGGCTTCGGAGCGCGGGGGCCTCCAGGGAAATGAACTCGGAGCTGGAGTCCAGGAGGTCGAAGGGGGGCCGCCGGCAGCGGCTGTCGCGGGCAGCCATGCGGGGCGGGCGGGCAGCGCTGCTCCGCAGGACCACCATGGCGAGGGGGACGCGGCCCCGCGCCCGCCACCCGCGCGCGCCGCCCGGATCCCTCCGCCGCGCTCCCTCCCTCGCGCTCCGCTCGCCCCTGCGGCCGCTACTCCCGGCCCGCGCGCGCTGCGGAAGGGCACGCGGCGCACTGCGGCTCCGCGCGCCGCAGCCGTTTGGCGCCCAAAACTCGGAGCGCTGCGCCGGTGGCGGGGGGCGGGGCTGGCTCGCGGCTCCGCCCCGTCCTGTCCTGTCCTGTCCTGTCCCGTCCCGCCTGAGGGGTCCCTGCGCCTCCCGCCGCTGCCCCGGCCGTACCCGCGGAGAGCCCGCGCCCGGCCGGGATGGCCGCGGTTTCCTCAGGGATGGTGTAGCGGCTGCTCCCGCCGGGCCCAGCACTTCCTGCGCCGCCCTCAGCCCCGCTCAGACCGGCCATGGCGCGGCCCGAGGCCGGTTATGGAGCGGCGGTGCCGCCCCGCCCCGCCTGCACCTACACCAGCTGCTACTGGTAAGGGAGACGGGGACGGGAGGGCCGGTGCCCCTCACACCGCCGTGAGGCGCCGGGACAGCCGGAGCCCCCGCGAGTGTGAATGGCTGGTCACACTCCTGGGCTCGCGTCTCGGCTCGAAAAATGAAGTTGGAGGAAAACAAATTAAATAACTGTTTATTTGTGTTTTGCAGCGAAGAAAACGTTTGGAAGCTTTGTGACTACATCAGGAGTCAGGATCGGTACCCTTTAGAAGAATTTTACGCTGTTTTCATATCCAACGATAAGAGGATGGTGAGTCAATGGGATTGATCAGAGACAGCTGTGGAAAGGCTCGGGCCTGCAGAGCGCAGCCCGGTGTGGGTGAGAATGGTCCCAGCCCAGTGTGGGTAAGAATGGTCCCAGCCCATGCCGGGGAGTGAGCCTTTAGCCCAGCCTGTGGTGAGATTCAGTCTAAACCCGTCCTGCAGCTCGCTTTGGCTCAGAGGTGTGCCAGCCGCACCACGTGAGATGTTTTAATTATGCACTGCATTCAGAACGGTGGAATGAGGCATGGTGTCCCTGTGAGCTGTGGGAGTAATTCTGTCTGTAATCTGCCAATTTAGGAGAATAGTTATCTTTATAAAATCATAGAACCATTAATAAACGTAAGGTTGGAGAAGACCTCTAAGACCATCAAGTCCAACTGTTAAACTGACACCACTATGTTCACCACTAAATCATATCCTCAAGTCTTTTGGATGTTTCCAGGGATGGTGATTCCATCACACTTCTTTTTAATGTGGCCCAGAATAGTATCTCCAATTTCATCCTCCTGAGAGAGAAACTAGAAAAAATGTTCTTACTGCAGCACAGATGTAAGCTGAGGAAACGGATAGGTTACCAAAAAACTAACCAATTTACCTTAAATTAATCTGTATTAATCTGAAAGATTTTATTCACTTCAGGTTCATTTATAACTTTCAGATTCCACTCTGGAAGCAGAAATCTGGACATGGAGATGAGCCTGTTGTCTGGGTAAGGCATTCATTACTCTCAGTAATTTTGAGTGTGTGCCTCTGTAGTTGATAGCTGCAGGATCACACATGGGCGTGTAAAAATCTGTTCCATCTGAACATAAAGGAGCATTTTCTACTGAGGGTGGTGGAGCACTGGAGCGGGTTGCTCAGAATCTCCATCCTTGGAGATGTTTAGAAGCTCTCCAGACACAGTCCTGGACAGTTGGCTTTAGGAGTGTCTCATTGAGCAACAGATTGGACCAGATGACCTTTTAAAGTCCCTTCCAACTCCACACATTGCATAGTTTTGCATTAATATTTACAATTCTTTTACAACAGATTTATAATTAGCCTATATCCAATGCTCCTTTGCACCATCCCTCATAATTTAATGGCAGGACAGTCAGTAAAACCAATAGGTGACAAGTCTTAATTATAGTAAGAATGCATAATAGATTTGTGAAAATTATTATCTGGGTATTGAGGCTGCCAGCTCTGTAGTGTTGTAGGTAGGTGACTATTTGTAAGAAATAAATGGATGAATATATTTATGTAGGCCTGCCAGATGACAGAAAAATGTAAGTTATGTGTGTATTCAGGTTAAACTGACCCATAAACAGTGGCTTTGAAATGTCATTTGATCAGTTAATGTAGTTCAGTAATTGCTGGTGCAGAATTCCTTGGTATCATTATAGGGTCCTTTCACTTATCTGGCACAGAAAAAACCTATTTCTTGTGGCGGTTTCTGTTTCTGAAATTCTGCAGAGTCGTCTGCAAACTTGTGAAATTTTCTGATTTCTGAATCATTCACTTTCTTCCAAAGTATTGGTAGCTTTACAGTACAAAAAAAAAGAAAAAAAAAGTTTGGTTTAAAAAGAGATCTGAGTGCTACAGAGAAGACCTAAAAGGGAATAGCAGAGTCAAGAAAGACCATGGCAGAATTGGATTTCTCCTAAAAATTCATGGATTCAAAGGTCTTTTAACTGTGACCTTTCAATGGATTATAGACTGTATAAACCCTGTAAACTAATTTTTCTTATACTCTCTAATAGGTTTTTCTAAATATTGTTGAATACAATTGTGTATGTATATTGGTCTGGTGAAGTGGATTGCCCAAATCTTTTTCATACCAATTTCTTTGTGGTTTTAATATTGAAAGTGTCAAAAGACAGTTCTCTACCCTTTTTGTGAGTGGATTCAATGTAAATTTAAGTAAGTTGTTGAGGGCTACCTTCAATTTAATTTTGGAAAACAGCAATGCACACACCTGATAGGTAATGTCAGTAACTGCAGTGTCCTCCAATCTCCTCCTGTGTTTCTTACAAGGTAAGGAGCAAAACTGCACTGCATAACCCCTAGATAAAATAGTTGCCTTGAAAAAGTGTGATGTAGATATTTTTTCCCAGCTTCAAGAGCTGCTAGAGGAAATTGTCTCACTCCTGTGGTCCTCCTGAGCTGTTTGCTGGTTTTTCAGTGGTGTGCTGGTTTTTCAGGTGCTTCTGGCAGCTGAACACTCGACACTCAAATTCACAGCCCGTGTTACTGCAACAGGTACAAAGTCTCTTATTAGAAGAGATCACTAGGTAAATTTAATGTTAACCTATCATTTTATCTTGTCAGTTTATTTATGACTGAATCTAATAAAAAGTGATAACCGAACAACTTTTGTGGTTTGGTGTGGAACATGAGAGAGATTTTCTGTTTTCTTAGGAGTAGTGTACACTTTAGTTTGCTGTCTTGGCTTAAAGGAGGCTGCAAGGAAATGGGGAGAATAGCAAGGTTTCTGTAAGAGCAGATGGGCAAGATCGACATTAGGAAATCTCTCTCCTGTTGCCAGAAATTTTACAGGCTTAATATTCAAGGACAGCAAGCAGGCTTTAAAAAATGGATCTGAACTTATGCTTTTAGGAAGATCTTTTTTTTCCACTCTCTTTGCCAGTTTCTTATTAATTGCTGTTCAGCTAATGGCAACTCCCCTTCTTCCCAGGACTACCATGTTATTCTACTTCATCTCTGCAGCGGGGAGCAGAACTTCATTTATGATCTGGACACAGTGTTGCCCTTTCCCTGTCCTTTCCATGTGTACAGTGCGGAGGCCTTCAGGTTGGATGACAGCCTTCGGCCGGAGTTCCACAGGTGATGACATGAAATACAAACACTATGGATGTTATTTCATCAAATCAAAGTTGAAGTTCTCTTTGTGCATGCATAGTGACAGAGGTTTCTTTACTGTACTTCAGTAACATAAATGCATTGTGTTGTTTTTCTAAAGCTCTTCACCTTAGTCATCAAAAGCTTTTCTTTCCTACTGTAGCTTCATGTTAACAACTTGGCCCAACATTGCTAGTTTGTGTATTTAATAACATTAGTGCTCCTTGATGAGAGGAAAGTGCTCTTATTCTGAGTGATTAGTGCAGTATTGTGTACGTGGATCTTTTAATACAATTTTGCATTTTGTTTTAGGAAAATCAGAATGGTTCGAGCAGATTTGTACTTGAAGACATTTGCTTCGGACAGATCTCACATGAAGGATGCAAATGGGAAATGGCAGAAGCCTCCTCCTCCATATCCTTGCATTGAAACTGCAGGTGAGCTCCAGAACTCCTTCCTGCTTACAGTGCTGAATGAAGTAGTCTAGGATGCACATGGGAAATAAGTAACTTCTATCACATTTGTCCAGCCAGCTTATCACTTCATATGGGAAAAAATAGGGCTGTGAAGCATTTGGCACTCTCTTTTTTGGACACATAGTCCAACATGCCTTCTGGCATTTACTGGTATCAAACATTAGTTACTGATATTCATAAACTGAGCAGAGAGTGAGGTAAGTAATACTGTTCCAGCAGGAACTGAAGCAGGCAGGCCAAATAACTTGCTTAGGGATCACAAAATTTTTCACACAGTGATTATATCACACTGTAGCACACAGATCCCATTCTGGCAAAGCGGTGTTGGCAGGAGGAAGTTTTCACTGCTCAGTGTGGTGGGTTTGCCTGCATGAAATGTTTGAGGTTTCTTGAGGTGAGGGGACCCCAGGGTGTTTTAAGTCACTGGCAAGTTCTTCCTAAGCCTTAAGCCTCTGTAAGTGTTTACCTCTCTCTGCCTGGCCCAGAGGCTGACTTGCCACCTATTCTGTAGAGCTGCTTAAAGCATTCTTATCACACAGCACTTCAGCTTATTCTAATAATCTGTTTTGCAAGCTGAGTAACATTTGCCATGTGTGTGTTTGTTTGTACTCTCATTTTCTTCCAAGGAAAGCATGGTGACGTTTTGCTTTGAAAGAGTTTGAAAGAGTTTTCATGTTACTGTTCTGCATGTTTGGTTTTGTTGATTTTTAATAATGCAGTACTGCTGTGTGTTTATGTTAGAGAAGGGAGGATCAATAAAACATACCTCTGTCTTTAGGTCCAAATGGTTTTAAGTTGCTGGGAAATTAATTCTCAGTATTTGCTTTGGCTTCTAAGGAAGCTTGGTGTTTCACATGAGAGCAGAAATGAGTTATGGGAGTGAGCAGGAACACAGATGTGACTTTGAACACAGATGTAGACTTTGTTATGAGCTTTAGGTGTTCTCTAGACAATCCAGGTTATGAAGCACCTTGAATTCTAACTCTTGGTTATTATTTTCAGCAGAGTTTTATGCAAAGGTATTGTAGGGAGTGTAGGATTCCTGAACTACGGTGAATGGTTCTCTGTTAGCTGGAGCCTTGTAGGTGCTGAGAACTTTTTTGTCTGTGGAAACCTTGTTGTTTTGATAGCTGAGAGCTAATGAAGGTGAGAGGAATATAGATGAGGTCAGACCAGGAAAGCAAAAAATTCTATTCAAATCAAAAGAGTAAAAAACCCATTACTTGTGGGTAGTAGGTTACATAATGCCTCAGTTGCAGATGTGCACATGTATCTCTAGCTGGAGTACCTGACTCCATAGCTGCAGACCCTGTAACTCCCCTTGCCTGTTGTCTGGCTGAGCTTTCCCTCACTGGTGAGCAGCAGCCACAGGCCTCAGGCAGCCTCTGGGTTCTCAGTGGGACTGGTAGATAGTGAGGGATATGTAGCTCTTAGTTCCTCTTATGCATTCTTTGCTCTGTACCTTGCCATGCTGAATGAAATCCAGTCCAACATCTGCCCAGAACAGGTGTTCCTCAGGGCTCTGTCCAGTCTGGTCTTGAACACCTCCAGAGACGGTGATTCCACCACTTTCTGGACAGTGTTCCAGTGTTTGACCACTGTCATGGTAAACAAACAATAAATAAAAAATCCTAGTATATAATCTGAATTTCAGATGTTCCAACTTGCATTTTTCATTTCTTGTCCTGTTGCCAGGCTCCTCCTGAAGACTCTGGCTCCACTGTCCTACCTCTGATCAGGTAGATGTAGGCAGTAGTGATGTCTCCCCTTCATCTTCTCTTTTTAAGACTGAAGAGTCCCAGTTCTCTGAGCCTCTCCTTGAATAAATGTTGTCCTACACCAAACAACTTGATTTTCCCCTTCTGGGCCTACTCCAGTATGTCCATATTTTGGAGGTTTTTTTGTGCTGAGGAGCTCCAAGTGGACACAGCATTGCAGCACTGTGCTGATGTGCTCTGCTCTCCTGTCAGCTGGCTGAAAGAAACTTGTTACCCTGCACCCACTGAAGGTGAGAAGTCCTTCTCTAGGGAGCTTCAAGGTCTGAGTCAGAGCAGGACTAGATTGTCTGAGATCTAGGATGTCCAGTTCAAGTTTTGGTTTGTTTAGTACCAGTTCCTCCAGCTTTCCTCTTTGTCTTTCCTTTGTATTCACTGAGGTACTTTGTAATGATGCATGCTTCAATGTGCACAGTGCTGAGAGTCTGTGAGGAGTCCAACTGTAATGTCTCAGCACAGTTTTATCAGGCATAAAGCTGCCTTATTTTTAACTTGATGTGAAACTGGGTGGCAGACCTTTTGTTATCATAAAAGAGCCTGGGGTATTAATGTTCATGTCCATGCCAAATCCCATTGCAGATAACTTTTTTCTCCCTGCCGTTGCACTTTGATAGACCAGTCTGCTTTCCATGTTGATTTGTGTTTGCATAAGATTAAATTACTTACATATTTCATGTTAGAGGTGACTGTAATATGATGGCTGACAGAACTGACCCCATATTGTTTAACACCAATTTATTTGTAAGGCACAGAGCGGGCTTGTTTTGTTTTTTGGGTTTTTTTTTTTGCTGTTATTTATAATAACCAAATTCCTAAGCTTTTGAGAAGATGCAAGGTTTTTGTGTTCCTTCTGTTTCTTATATGTGTTCTTTGATGTTTGTGGCAGTTTGACTTTGCCTGGATGCCAGGTGCCCACCAGAGTTGCTCAGTCACTCTCACCCACAGCTGTACAGAGGAGAGAAAATGCAATGAAAACTCGTGAGTTAAGGATGGAGAGGGATCACTCACCAATTACTGTCATGGGCAAAACAGACTCGACTTAGGGAAATTAGTTCAATTTATTGCCAATCAAAATCAGAGCAGGACAATGAGGGTCAAAACAAGTCCTTAAAACACCTTTCCTCCACCCCTCCCTCTTTACCAGTCTTAGCTTTATTCCCAATTCTCTACCTCCTCCCCCCCTCTGTGGGGAATGGGGGTCACAGCTCATCACAGGTTGTTTCTGCTGCTGCTCAGGGACAGGAGTCCTTCCCTTGCTCCCATGTGGGGTTCCTCTCATGCAGTTCTTCATGAACTTCTCCAATGTGAGTCCATCCCATGGGCTGCAGATCTTCATGAACTGCTCCAGTGTGGCTCCCTTTCCACAGGGTGCAGTCCTTCAGGAGCAGGCTGTTCCTGCATGGATCCCCCACGGGGTCACAAGTCCTGGCACCAAACCTGCTCCAGCCTGGGCTCCTCTCTCCACAGGTCTGCAGGTCCCTGTCAGCAGCCTGCTCCAGCATGGGCTTCCCACAGGGTCACAGCCTCCTTCCAGGCATCCACCTGCTCCAGCCTGAGGCTTCTCCATGGGCTGCAGGGGCACGGCTGTCTCACCATCATCTTCACCACGGGCTGCAGGGGAATACCTGCTCTGGTGCCTGGAGCACCTCCTGCCCCTTATCCTTCACTGACCTTGGTGTCTGCAGAGGTGTTTCACCACATATTCTCACTCCTCTCTGGCCACAATTGCTTCTGTGCAGTAGCTTTTTTAAGTTTCTTAAAGGAAGAGGTACTACAGCAGTCACTGATGGGTTCGGTCTTTGCCAGAGGTGGGTCCATCCTGGAGCTGGCTGGCAGTGGCTCTGTTGGACATGAGGGAAACTTCTAGAGGAGCCAGCCCTACAATCCTCCCTGCTACCAAAAACTCTTGGAAGTGAACTGAGCAATCTTGATCATTAACAAATTAAGCATTTTTCTCCTACTAGTAACTCAAAGGGAATAAATCTTAAACTGTATTTGTCCTGCTCATAGGGTTGCAAAATAAATCATCAAAAATAAGCTTACATGGAGTCATAAATTCCAGTCTATGCCTAAAAAATTTAAGCTGGCACAAGGTGATTTTTAAAAGCATTTTTCTAAAAGACAAACAACCCTCTCAGACTCCTCAGTATCAGAACTCACATGCTAGATATTTGCCTCTTGGATCTGGCTCTGCTCTAGCTGTTTCCCAGAGTTAGACCTCTGTGCCTTTTACTGGCATTGCTCTGGCCTCTGTTCTGCTCTGCTGCCATAGATTGCAGGAGGGGCTGGCCAGCCTAACTGGCTGCACAGTGCTTTCTCACCCTGCCCTGTCCTCAGAGCTGCTCTGCTGGAATGAACATACCTGAGCTGCAGAGCATTCCCCTGGTCCCACCTGTCTGCCAGTGACCTCCTGTTGAAAGAAACAGGATATTTTGTTAAAATAATAAAAAGTGAGATTTAGTGAACAGAGTCATTATTCTAGAGCTGGTGAGCCCAACCTTTGGTTTTCTTTTAAATCTTCTTTCCACAAATTAATGAGGTCTGATTCTGTTTAGTTTATGACTTAGGATGAGATCAGCCCTCCTTACTGCAAGCCTGTGTAAAATGCAGCTTGCACAGTGCATTTCAAAATTACTCCAGCCAGATGGTTGTGTGGCTTATGTGCAAGTGTTAGCAGCAGCTCTAACACTGAAAAGCACTGGTTTGAATTTCAGTTCTCCCAAGGTGTTCAGTAACACACTTGCTGGATGGATTTGTAAAAGCTTTTTGTTCTTTGTATTATTAATAAAATCCCTGGTAGTCAATAATAATGGGGTTTTACTTGGAGGTTTTTTAAAATTTATTTTGAAGAGCATGAATAGGACAGCTGAGAAATTCTGGAGACACTGTGTATCAAACATATGTGTAACAGGAAATCTCTCAGACAGACCCAGCAGATGTCTGCAGTTGCTCTGTATCTCCTCTCTGAAGTGGCAGCAGGATCCCAGTGAGAGTGAAAAGGCACTGATAGGGATACAAGCAGCTCCTATGCACTCCATGGGAACCTTCTGCTGCTCTCATGTGAGAATAAAACTCCAGTCTGTAAAGTTAGGTCCTTACTTCATAAGCTTTTGTGGAAGTAATGAATCAAGTCAGATAGATACAATAAAGACACAACTAAGAAGCATGTTAATAACCAGAGTGGCTTGTTGAAGTTACACCACTTTCTATAAAATACAATTTAAAGTGGTGAGCTGTGTTTTACATTGAGGTGGTTTGCACAGTCAGTTTTATCTCAGGGGTGGAGACAGCAGCCTCCCAGCTGAGAGTGGGAAGAGTCCTGACTTATCTCCCTGCTCAGACGAGGGAGGAGATCTGAGGAGAGCTGTAAACACCTCCACAAGAGTCCAACTTTCGTTTAGTGTCCCCCAAGGTTTTCAGCATTAGCAGAACTGATCTTGGAGGTTTTGTTCCAGACTTCCCTGCTTCCAGCAGCCCTTGGGCAGCTGTGGTTGCACTGAGACAGTCCAAGGTCTGTGAGCCAAGCTGAGGCTTGGCTTAAACATTGCTTTCTAACTACTGTTGGCAGAAGCCACAAGTATGGCTAACAATGCCTGAGATAGTGAGTGGCCTTTTATTTCATCCCTGCTTGGGGTAAAAGTGGCAGACTTGATTTAAACAAAATGAAGTTATGCAGGAATCCCAGAATGGGCCAGATAGGTCTCATTTGTGGGGTGTGTATGTAACAAAGTTTGGTCAAAGAAGAGGATGGAGCTGTAGGCATTGCACAAACGCAAGCTAGTATAACAGTCACAGCACCTGAGGGGGGCTACAAGGGTAATGTAAATCTTTAAAGAAAATAATTCTGCTGCTATTGGTCTTGTAAAAATGTTGTAGGATACACATGCTCTGTGCTTTTGTGGAGAGATCATCTCCATCTTCGTTTGCCAGCTGTAGCATCCAGGTGTATATTTTTAAAATTCTGATGTTTATCAGTCTTACCTGCTTCGGGAGGAGGACTTTGTGGTATTCTCATGCATTTTTGCCGAGCTGTTTCCTAACGCTGTAAGGCCTAACACGGCACGCACGGCGTTCAGATAGGAAAGAGCAGCGGAGAGCGGCTGTTACTGCACGGATCAAACGGGAGAGGTCTCACTAAGGTTTTCCCTACGGGTACCTCCCGTGCTGCTCCAGTGCCATCTACCGACAGCTTCTTGGGCCATCGCTCTTCACCGGAATGGACTTGTTTGCTTTGGTAAAACTATCTGCCGCAATCCTTCCGAAGTTAGAGAAAATTTCATTGCCTGCAGGCGTTGTGGCAGCAACTTCCAAGTTGCAAACAGCAGCTGTGTTTGTAACTACTGGAACAATCTCCTTTGGACTGCTTTCCAATTCACAGAACAGTTTTATGAATTATTTTAGTATGCTCAATGCACATAAAGCAGAGATTTATTTATTTATTTATTTAATCTTAATGTATATGAAGAATCACATTAGTTTTGAAAAAGCATCTGGGAGGAAAAGAGCTTGAAACTGGAAAACAGATTTAACAGTGGGTAACAGGTTTAACAGTGGGTAACAGCTCCAGCAAGCAAGAGCTGTTACCCACTACTAATTTGTTCTTGAGCTATGACAGCAAATTGCTGAGCTTGTGCTATTTTAAATTCCCACACAGGCAGAAATGATCCCTGTTCTGCCAGACTCACTTCAGCAGTAGGAGCATGCTTGGCTGGACATAAGGAATTTCTGTATACAGAGTTCAAACAGGTTAACAAGAAAAGATTTAGGGGCCAGAGCTCAGAAAGGGTGAGAGTTGGGATTAGGCAAATCACAAAGCTGTGCTGTAGTGTAGATGTGGTGCAAACAGAGGCCTGCAGGGGCTGGATTATGCCTGGCACTCCTGGGTCTGGGGTTCCTGAATCATCTTCCTTTCCTTGCTTACACTGTCCATAATGGTAAGCCTAGTTACACAAACATCTTGCAGCTGAAGCAAATTCCATCCTTTGGATTTTATAATCTATTCATTAGAGCCTCTTCTTGTTTGATTCTTAATCCTTAAGTGCACACATGAATCATCCCTGGTAAAGTAAATACTTAATACAGTGGAAGAATTGTTAACAGTAAATCTGTAAAGTGAAACTGTAACAGTGGCTTTACCACTCTGTTCCTTAAACTCATTCTCAGCCATTCTCAGGTCATTTTAAAAGATTATTTGTGCACATCATTGGTAAGAAGTCAAAACAACAAGCCCACAGATGTTTGTCATCAGAACTGAACCTCTTATCAGCACGGTTCTGAGTCAGCAAAGCTTGTACCAGGCCAGCTCTGGAAAAAGGAAGTATAAGGCACCTAAACCCAAAACTGCACACCAGCACTTTTCCAGTGAGCTCTCTGAGATCCATGAATGGGACAGAATGATTTCCACCCCTCCTGCAGGAAACAGAGCAAATTAAATCCTGGCAAAGAGCAGTCATGGTTACTTTTCTCTTGAAACCATGCCAATTAAACTTTTCCCCCTGACTTAATTCTGTCATTCAGGATTCACAAAAAATAAGTATTTGCCCCCAGCCTAGTTTGTGCTCCTCTTCACCTGAGCATCCTCTAGGCTGGGACTGGGTTAGGTCACACCTCTCCTCCCCTCTGCATATTCTGGCCCTGCAGTGAGCCTATGTTCAGTGAGGAAAAAGTTCAGGGCTGGAGGGAACACAAATACTGTAATCTGGAGAGTAACAAACTGCAGCTTTGCCAAGGGGCCAATCACTTCTGAGAGACAACTTGCAGTTCTGACTGCTGCTGTGAGCTCATTCTCTGTGCTCAGTGCAACAGGTGACTCCATTGACTTTGGTTCAGATCTTACATGGGTGAATAATACCTCCCCTGCCTTTAAGTCAACCCATTTGTGTGAATGCAGGAAGACTGCATTGCCCTTCCCTGTGTTGGTTGTTGTTTACACTCCAGTTCTCTGACACTACTCAACCCTTCTAGGCTGCTGCTGTAGGGAAAAACCTTACCCACACATGCTAGTTTGTAGTGCTGGCTGCTTTCTGATCCTGTAATGTGATTGTTGCCTTGGGCAGAGAGGGGAATGGGGGCAAAAATGATGTTTCAGAGACTGCAAATTGATGTTTCTGTGCCACCATACCATTTGCAGAATCTTGCTGGAGTGAACGAACTGTTGAAGAGGGGTTTGGAATGTTTTCTTGAGAGATGTATACCTGTGCTACAGAACCTGCATCTGGAACTCAGATATTTCCATTTTCTGGTCCTTTTTCAGATTCCAAGATGAACTTGGATGATTTCATCAGTATGAATCCTGAAGTGGGATGGGGCTCAGTGTTCTCCCTTTCAGACTTTGTGCATCGATTTGGCAGTCAGACTGATTACAGCTATGCCTTGGAAGGACAGTGAAGTGAGCAGAGTTCCTCTGGTTCTCAGTGGATGTGTTTTGTTTTGCTGCTCTTACATTGTATTTATGGTTTACATTTCTGTACGTGCAATAGGTATTTGGAAAAATAGAACACCCAGACAGAAATATCATGAACTGAATAAAAATCTTTATTTTGATTATGTAAGAATGCACTTGGTTTTGAACGTCAAATCAAAGGCAGACATGCCACCATAAGCATATTGCTTTTCCAGCTACTGTGCCTAAACTGAAAAGAGCTGCAAAAAAAGCTTTTGGAAAAATATGTGCATAAAATACTGAATATTGTAGCCTAAATTGCTACATGTTGTCACATTTTAAAAGTGGGATATGGTGTTCTTCATGTTGTGATTGCTGTCAATTATATGTAAACAGACAGGGCATCTCAGTTTCCTCACTAGCTTTACTGATTAGTCCTTGTTTAGCAGAAGTGTAAATGGAAAATTGATTTAGTAGTTCAGTTGTGAACTCCCATGCACTGTGTAAAACCAGGTGAGCATCCAGGTTTGTGTGCTGCACCAGGGGAGAATTAAATCCTGCCATTTCAGTGAAGTGTTCTAGTGCTGACAGTTCCTGGAAGATGCAGTTGCTATTTTTGCTTGTCATGCTGGCTGTGCATTCTCACCTGCTCCCATCTTCTTGCACTTGGTGTTTGTTTGGCCTTGTGATAATTCAGGGTAATTCTGACAGAAAGAAGGAAGTTTTGTTGAGGTTTTTTTTTTTTTTGCTTCTTGGTTCCTTGAGCTGGCCTGCCTTGAGGTCAGACAGCTGCTCCTGCTGGTGTAGGGAAATCAGCAGGGCCATATGGCTGGGGGGAAGGGAGTGAGAAAGCCTCCCTGTTCAGGGCTGCCTGCTGCTGAATATCCTCAGAGGTGATGCCAAGCTGCATCCCTGCAGGGCATCCCAGGAAAGCCTCGTGCTGACTGAGGGCTTGGAGCAGTCTCACACTTCTTAGAAGAGTGCCCTAAACGTGGAATTGCAGAAACAGGCTAAAATGAGGTCTTTAATTCTCAGCTCTGGACTTGCTCTACTTTATACCCTAGCACATGACAGGCTCACAGACTGGTAGAAGAACACAGGTTAGAAGGGTCAGGCAGTCCCTGGTCCAGTCTCCTGTTCAAATCAGATCAGACCAGGCTGCTCAGGGCCTTAGCCAGTCAGGCCTTGGAAACCTGCTGGGATTGAGACTACAATAAACATTTGTGATACATTTCATTCCTGTGAAGAAAAGCACAGTAAAGATTTTAAGTTTTAAGGGGTCATTTTATTTGTAAGTAAAGAAAACTATCAAAACTTGTAAGAATCTTGTATGTGTTACCCAGGTTTATTGTTACATACGTAGTGTATTACTGTATCTCTCATCAGTTCTAGAGAATTTACTCAGCATATTAACAGCAGAGACAGCCACTTGAACAACTGTGGGATTGATTCATTTCATGCAGACATCTCTTTCCATATCATAAGGGCTGCTGAATACAGGAGCTCTGTTGCCAGACACTTTCTGTTGCCAGATGCAGCACAGTTGGTTGCCTGTGCAGACAGGCTGCTACTACACATATTCCTTGAGGCCAGCCTGGACTGGTTGGGAGGCCAGTTGTAGGGACACTCCCCTCTGGAGTGGGACAGTTCTTCTGCAGTTTCTGTCACTCTGATCAGTGTCACCAGAAGAAACTGAGATGAAACTTGGGATTCCTGATAAACTGGTGCATGAACCCTGCCAAGAGGGGACAGCTGGATTTAACCAGATACTCACTCCTGTGTAAAAGGTCTGATGTGTCCATGTTTGGATGAAATGGCAGCTCTTGAGGCTGATGTAGCAGGCACACTGGGGGAATGCAGATGATGGTACTGCCTGGTTCTGAGTGATGTTCAGGCTGGTTGTGGCAGTGCAGAGCAGCAGCAGTTTGCCTGCTCTGCTCCTGTAGCTGCCAGGGCACTGGGTTAGACACAGCACAGGTGGGAATGCCAAGATCCTCGTTGCAGATGAATGGGCTGTGTTAAGCACTTCTTACCCTTTGAGTGGCTGAGTGTTACAGACACAGAGTTCCTGTGCATTGCTCAACAGGCCCTTTAGGTTGTTACAGAACATGAGGTTCTCATCCCTCCCTACTTGAGTATGTCATTTGATTTAACCTCAGCTGGTTTCCGGTGCATGAAATCTGTGACACACTCCCTTTAGCGGGGGTCAAGACACAAAAGCCTGCCTGGTTTAATCTAGTTTCAGCATCAAGGCTGTAAAGAACAGTCACAACCATTATTCAGACTATGCAAGTTTAAAAAAAAACCCAACATGAAGAGTTAGTCCTTTTTCTCTGTAATCATTCTGAACAGGTGCTTAATTTTACATGTAGCAGGCTGGGTGTGTGTGATTATAGCTTTTCTATAATTAACCACCTTTGTGTGGCTCTTGTAAAAAGTTGTCATTCCAGAGGGATCAGTGAAGCCAGAGAATTATTTAATTCAGTGCTGAGGATGGTGATAGTGTGGTGCTGTCTCTCTAGCTCATCAAGTGTGGGGACATTTAATCTCCTTTCAGGTGGGCATGATATCCGAAGGAGAGAATTCAGGAATATATCAAGTGCTCATTTAGAGCCCAAAAGACAAAGAAAAGCTACTCACTTCACTGTAGTTATCAGAAACCAGCTCTTTTCTGGTGCTGATTAGTCCTAGTGTCCCATCACAGGGACTAAACACAGCAGAGGTTAAACACTGCTGTGTTTAACCTCTGCTGTCAGCCCATATTTGATGCGTGAGGTGGCCCCACCAGTGTGGTTTCCCCACTGAACACCACAGTAAGTTGCAGACAGAAAAGCAAAGTTTGCTGAGAGCCACTTTGCCATGTACCTGCAGAAGAACAAGCAGAGACCTTCCACTGTAAATCTGATGGCAAGGAGGCAACTTCATTGCCAGACATCCCTAATTGTCAGCTCTGTGACCAGTGATGTATTCAAACACCTGAGATTCAAACAGGTGCACCCCACAGTGATAGGTTCCTGTGTGGGGTACATTGTATGGCAGAGCACAGCTGCTGCTCCTCAGGTGCAGCTCCAGGCTGGCCAGTGCAGCCTCCCAGCTGAGGGGGTGCTGAGGGAGAGCCTCACTCCTTGGTGCAGGGGAACTGGGCTCATGCCACTGGGAGATACCAAGGAATAACAGGAAAGCACTGATGGCTGATTGTCTGGGGTGCTCTGGCACAGCAGGGTCAGCCTGTGCTCACTTACACTCCATGCTGTCCATAGCCCTTGAGACTCTGGATCTTTACTGTGTCAGATGCTTTCCCACTGTGTCCAGGACCAGGATGTGCTGCTTATGCACTTTCAGTACAATGATGTCCTAGTGTATCTTAGCTCCCCATTCCCTTTCAGCCTTCTTTACCTTGTCCTTTTCCATGTGATGTCTTTCTTTTGTCTAGTTATTACAGTTTTTGTGAGCTTAGAGCCTCTAAGTGGTGGCTTTTTGGACTGGGTGATCCTTGAGTAAGGCATTGAAGAAAGCAAAGGGAAACCCTCCTGCTCTCAGGTCAGTTACTCACAATCCCATGGTCTCCCAGCTTCTGTATTCTGTTGATCACTGGAAATTCTCCAAGCCTTTTATTTGTAGACATCATAGGGTGAGACTCTGATAGCCTTATAATGGGGGCTCACAGGTGGTTCCTCCCATCTCCAGCAGACTATTGCAGCAGCACCAGATGGAGCACCCACATCTTTCGTGCCTTTTTCTCTTCTTTGCTACTGCTTTCTACCTAAGAATATAGTTTATTTGAGAAATAACCTCTTTTATTCAGCTGTTTGTGGCTTTTAGAAAAATAGACACTTTTTTCTGACACGCATTTGTTTGGTCAGTGCACTTTTGCAAACTTGTATGTGACCAGGTCTGCCTTGAGAAAATCCCATTTCTTGGTTGGCCAGCAGAGAGAGCAGTCAGCATTCAGTGGAAGTGCAGGTTGGGACAGGGACAGAGGTGGTCCCCTGCACACTGAGCCCTGCCAGTAGGTGTTACAGTTAGAAATGAGTCACTCTGACAGCATTGCAGGGGTGATCTGTACCTTGCAAGGTTCTGGCTGAAGGCTGAGGTACTGCCCTCGACTGCCCGAGCCTGTCATGGCAGTGCAAGCCCATCTGCACACCAGGGGCTATGTGGCAGCAGTGTCACACCATGTGCCAGTTTGAGGGACCTGGTCAGCAGATCCCCCAAATATATCTGGTCACAGTTCCTACCAAAACACCTGTGACACCTTAGGGTGTCAGAGCAATTGGTTTGCTGTCAGTTTATATTTAGATACCTGGGGATGCTGCAATCTGACCTGGGCTATTCAGGAAGAAAAGGGGCAATGGGGTGCATTTATATTAATCAAATTCCAGGATGAGAGCCTTGGTCAGGGCATTTTGACATGTGTGGCCTCTTCATACTCTCATTGTCCAGGCAGAGCCTCGTGCATGCTCTGAAGCACTATTGCTCCCCAAGCTTCCACTGTAAAATGGCCATCTCTGGTTGGCCAGGTTTTCCTTGTTAGAACTACTTTCATCCAAATTCTCTCATTTTTCACATTTCTTTCCCCTACCTTTTTAGGAAACAAGTATTGTAGACTAAATGACTTGAGAAAGCTGTACCAGGGAGTAAGAAGGAGGTGTGAAAATACCACCATGTCCCTTCAGTAGCCCCAGTTACCTTGCGCTGGGTGCCTTGCAGAACTGAGACACTGTCCCTGACCCAGGTGGTGGCTGTCCCCCACACCTGGCATGAGCCACTCTGCTGGAGGGGAGGACCTGCAGAGCTTCACTTCACGTGTCACCCAGCAGAGCAGATGGCTCCAGCTTTGCTGGGCTTGCCCTCCTATGACACTTTGGATTCTCAGGCTTGGAGAATCTCATCTCCTCTTGAGGAGAAACATCTGTCTCTCTTCAGGTAATTACCTTCTCAGAAACTTGAGGGAGAGAATGCTGGGGATTTTCTTCTGCCTTCTGGCTTCCTCCTTCTGCAGGACTTGGCCCAGTTGAGGCCCAGGTTAATGGAGCACACCCAAGGAGGGAGTGTCTGGAGACATCTGCCCAGGTTTGTGCACACTTCCCTGTGGAGCTCACCTCTTTTCCTTTATGATCATGGAGTCAGAAGTGAAGCACTCTCTACAAATGCAGCCTTTCAG